GTGGCAAACACCTGTAATCCCAGCTACTTGGGAGACTGAGGCAAGAGAATCACTTGAATCCAGGAGGCAGAGTTTGCACTGAGCCAAGATCACGCCGCTGTACTCTATCCTGGGCAAAAGAGCAAGAATGTCTAAAAGAAAAAAAAAAAATCCCCCTGTTGTCTTCCAGTGCAATCACATGGACAGTGCTGGATTCTCCCAGGCACAATGTGTGATACATGTACAGGACACTGCCTGTCGGGGACCTCCACCAAGCCCTCATGTCCAGAGGTTTTGCAAGGTTGGTCTTGTATGTATTGAGGACTTGGGTGGCTGACATTAGGTACCAAGTCCCCTGCCCCCTCTGGAGGTCAAACTGATAACAACCGGATGCAAGGTCCTACCATATATCACATTGTCAGCAGACTGTCCGGCATGGCTGAGGCTCCAGGAATTCAAAGACACTGTTTCCAAACAGAATATTACTAAAGCACACAGCTCATCTTCCAGGAACTGGTTGAGGTCTTGTTTTTCTTCTAAAAGATACAGAGACCCTGCCTTCCCCAAGCTAATGAGTCTACCCTTTACTGCACAGTGGTTCCCTCAGTCTGGAGGCCCACATTTCAGGCCCACCTCAGGCCAGAATACCAGGGGCAGCAGTCCCACCAGCACCATCACAACAGTGACCTCCCTTTGTATACGACACCCCAAAATAAAAGACGAATCATGGAGAGTCAGGGAGCTTTGTGCCAGGGTCACTTCCCAGGGTTCATTCGGCAGTGCCAGAACATTCCCTGGGTAGGACCCATGGAAGCCCAGGACTGAGCCACCACCCTCGGCCTCCATCACCTCACCACAGGACTGCCTAGGCAACAAGAGCAAAACTTTACCTGAAAGGAACAAAAATTAGCTGGGCTCAGTGGTGCCTGTAATCTCAGCTACATGGGGAGCTGAGGTAGGAGGTCCACTTGAGGTCAAGACTGCAGTGAGCCGTGATCCTGCCACTGTACTCCAGCCTGAGCAACAGAGGGAGACCCTGCCAAAAAAGAAAGAAAGAAAGAAAGAATATATATGCTGACAGACACAGACAACTGTTATACTAGAAGCTAAACAC